TTGTCCCACCGCCGTCCTCGCCACCGCCTTCACCACTGTCCCAACCACCACTGTACCCTCCATTGTCCTACTGTTTCCGCCACATTCCCACTGTCCCCACACCACTGTCCCCACCACCACCGTCCCCACCACTGTTCCACTGTTCCCACCATTGTCCTCACCATTGTCCCCGCCACTACCGTCCCCCCACTGTCCCACTGTCCCCACCACTGTCCCGCTGTCCCCTCACCACTGTCCCCACCACCACCGTCCCCACCACTGTCCGCACCCCCCCTCGGTTTTCGAGGGGGGGGGGGTTCGAACCGGTAGTGACCCCCCGCGGTTTTCGAGTTGGGGGGGCGGGGGGGGGTTCGAACCAGTAGTGACCCCCCCCCTTTTCATGATGAACTGGGGGGGGTTGGGGGAGGGGTTCGAACGCGGTATAGACCCCCCCCGGTTTTTCCGGAGGGGGGGGGGCGGTGGTTCGAACCGGTAGTGACCCCTCCCCCCGGTTTTCCGGAGGGGGGGGGGGAGGGGTTCGAACCGGTAGTGACCCCCCCCCGGTTTTCCGCTAGCAGCGGTAGAACACGCTCTTTCCGATATCAAGATGTCGAGTCCCCGCTCGCCCCCGCCCCCAAATGTCGAGGTATCGGGATATCGAGTCCTTCTGACTCGCACCGAGACGCCTTGCGACCACAATGTCTTGCGACACGATGTCGACTGGTCTCGACATCGAGAGTACAAGCCACCATCCCCGATGCCCGATATCGAGATATCGAGTCCCCGCCCGGCCCCGCCCCCCGATATCGAGATAGAGAGATATCGAGTCCCCGCCCGACCCCGCTCCCCGATATCGAGATGTATAGATATCGGGTCCCCCCCCAGTCCCCCCCCCTGATATCGAGATATAGAAGTGTCGAGATACCGAGTCCAGGCGAAAGAAACACCCTGGTTCGCTTGGACTCCTTGCCCTCGCACTGGATAAAGAGCAGCGGCAGCACATTGACTGCGCCAGCCGTGGCACAACACATCACCAGGCAACCGCGTTGCAGTTTGATTCGGACGACGGTTTTGCAGGGCCTGGTGGAGCATAACAATGGCATGTAATTGCTCGCACACGCCAGTCATGAACGCGAAGTGGTGAGCTGATCGTGGGCTATACGTCAGCTTTCGGGGTGGAAATCAGAGGACTGGAAGCAGCTAGAGCTATCCTCTGCCACGGCAGTCCGAGAAGGGGCGCTGATTTCCAAAACAATAGTGGAAGAGTAACCAGCGAAGTGTTACAAGAGAGCAGGGTGGAGGGGTCCGAGAAAGAGGAGGAGAAGGAGAGGTAGCAGCGGGCGAGGGAGGGACCGATTGAGGAGAAACATGTTGGTAACGACACGACGACGGCGACGACGACGGCGGCGGCGGCGACGGCGACGGCGACGGCGACGGCGATGACGATGACGGATGTCGACGACGACGACGGCGGCGGTGGCGGAGGTGGCGGCCTACAGAGACATCTGAATTCCCGAGAGGGGCCGAGAACGTCCGAAAACCGTCGAGCTTGGAGCCTCGATCCCCAGACATGTGGTGGCTGGAGTTGTTTGATGCGTGGGATTTTGGACCCCTTCACCGGCGCCAGATGCAGATTTTAGTGCAAGGCCTTGTTGCAGGTGACGACCCCAGGGTCCCAGCGGAGGCCGAGGATCACGACATACTTACATCTGTTTTGTTTTCAGGCGTCCGTCGTCCGTGGGGGCATATTCAAATCCCGGCCGCAACCATACAGACAGGGCGGTTTTGCTCGGATACCCCTCGCGGGACAGATCCATGGGATCGCGTATCCATTGGGTCGTTCCTCGATATCCAGGCCGTGCGTGCGTGGATACTGATACTGTTAGTTGTATACGTATATGCACACGCAGGTATGTGTTAGCCAGTGCTGACCCCAAATTGTGAGTGATTGGAGATCGAAACTGTGATATGCAAACTTTGTATGCCGTGTAAGCTACGTGATGTGAGCTATACAGGCGACAACTCTGCGGCGTAGACTCTGTGGTGTAAGCTATGTCGTGCATTATATGCGGTGTGAACTAGAGGTGGTGGCTATGGGGGAGTAATATATATATTAGATATAATATTTATATATATATATATATATATATATATATATATATATGTGTAAGCAATGTTGAGTAAGCTACGCGGTGCAAGCTATGTGGTGCAGGCAACATGGTGTCATCTGCGTGGTGGAAGCTATGTCATCTGGGCTCAGGGCACGGGACGCCCACGAGGCGGCAGTGGCGGCATACCCCTAAGCGTGGGGCGCCCACGAGGCGCCCACGAAGCGGTGCGGGCGGCAACGCGACTAAAACCCGACACGCATCCCCAGCCTGGGGCGCCAACGATGCGCTCACGGAGCGGCACGGGCAGCAGCATGGAGAACAACCGGCACACATCCCAAGCGCGGTGCGCCCAAGAGGCGCCCGAGAGGGGGCACCGGCGGTGGCGAAAAAACCCGACACACATCTCAAGCGCGGGGCGCCCAGGAGGCGCTCACGAGGCAGCACGGGCCCGCAACGTGACGAGAACCCGAAACACGGTTCTTCAAGGAAGTAAAATGAGAATCCCGAAGTGCAAATAATGTTTGGGAGCCAGTAAGAATAAGTGAACCTGGCGCGACCCCAGTGCACGGGAGCACATAAGAGTAAATGAGCCGGGAGCTCATAAGAATCAGGGGAAATTTCCTATTGCATGGGCGCATTGTTTGGCAGTGTTTTGCGCTGCTTTTCATTGCTGTGCATTGCTTGGCATTGCTTGGCATTGCTTGGCGTTGCTTGCGATTGCTCGACATTGTTTGGCTTTGCCATTGCTTGGCATTGCTTCCATGAACTGGCACAGCTTGGCATTGTGTGGCACGTCGTTGCATGGATTGGCATCGCTTTGCATTGCTTGTTGTTGCTTGGCATTGCTTGGCATTGTTTTGCAACGCCTGGGAACCCGAAGCACGAGACCACGGAACCCGAGGAAACCAAGCAGGAGCACGGAGCCCGAGTTTGCCTTCGGCCCATCCCGCCACCGTTCCCGCCACCGTGCCTGGGGTTGCAGGTCAGAGGCCTCTCTGGGCCCTCTTGGGCCGTTTCGGGGCGCTCGCAGCTCCGAGAAAATTATGCGTGAAGCGCCCGGGAACCGCGAGAGGCACTCCAGGAGCCCTGGAAAGTTTACGAATTTAGGAATCGGGCCATTTACAGTTGAATCCTGAGGAACCTCCGGGAAATGGGCAACGTAACAATAGTAGGCAGTGGCGAAGAACCCGAGGGACCCGAGGAACCTCCGAGCAACAGGCAAAGTAACGATAGGAGGCACCAACTTTTTAACCAAGTAAGAACCCTTGAGGCAAGCCGAATTGGGGAAAAGTTCTGCAAGCGTGCACCCCAAGTAGTGAGTTACTGCACTGTGAAAGTGATCGCTATGTGGTGTAAGTTATGCGGTGTGGGCTATCTCGTGTAACCTATGCCGTGCAAGCTAAGGAGGTGAAAGTTGCGCGTTGTTAGCAATTGTCGTTAACCCCAATGTTCGCGCAAGCATCCCACGCACCCACCCGCAACTTATTTAACAAATCATCTTCGGCCCCGATTGCGGCTCCCGAATGGAACTTGTTAGCGCATCTCTACGGTCGCACTGGCTCGCGCCCGCCCGCTGTCAGATGGATCAGCTGGTTTGGCACCAATGATCCTGCCACGATGGCGCTTACCGATGCGAATTTCCAGGCGCGTCTCCAAGGCCGCGCTGGCGCGCAGGAACAGTAGTGCGGGTTGGTGATCCAGGCGGGCGCGACATCATGATGATTTCGGAAACGGCGGCAACGATAATGATAATAGCGATGACGGTGGCAATGGTGACGACGATGACGATGATGATGCCCATGTGCCGGTAATGAAGGTGATTGTGGTGATGATGGTGGCAATGACAGCGGCTGGAGAGGACGGTACCAGGGTTGATGCGACGGCGCCGGTGAGGGTGATGAGGAAGCGCGCGAAGAGATTTGCAAGACATGTTGGCAAATTTGGTGGAACATAGTTTCTTTCCATGCGTGATTGAAGAGCTCTCTTCTGGCATGATTCGAGAACCCACGGTGCTGTAAGGATTTCGACGCGCGCGTTGCCGCGCACGCATGTGGCCCGCATGGTATTTTTTGTCATTCGTTCGTGAACTGCGAGCATACTAGATCAACGCGGATGCGCCGCGTGGTGAGATGAAAATGCGGATTCTGGACGGGATTTGTAAAATCAATAGTTCCCGCGTGGATTCAGCAAGTGTTGATTGGAAGAAAACTTGCAAGATCTGCAGTTGGAAAGCAATGTTGTTTACATTCGTTTGTTAAAACACTTGCAAAGCGAAGGTGTAGTTCATGATTCCGACAGGTGCGCGCGCGTGGACATTGTTGTGTTCTTGCAAATGATGATTAAAATTGAGCCTTTTGAGATAAACGAGTGTGCGCGAAGGTATTTGTTGACAGGGATGACAGGGGAGTCGATGCAGGCATGGCTGGGATGGCATGACCTGCTATGGCAAAAGAAGTGAAGCAGGACCAAGCGTAAGTTGTGTTATCAGAGGGGGGCGCTAACCCCAGTCTTGGGGGGGACAGGGTCGACTCTTTGGTAGAAAAGAGAAAATATGTGTGATGTAAACTGTGTCGTGTAGTAAATATCTGTGATGTGGGTTCTGGAAGTGAACGCTACGCGATGGGGGTTACATCGTATAATATGAGTGATGTGAGCCGGAGGTGGGTCGTCGTCGACGACGGCGGCGTCGACGGCGACGACGACGACCCCACGGCGGCGGCAACGACAGCGGCGGCGGCGGCGGCGGCGGCGACGACCACTACGACGAGGACGACGACGTCGACGACGACGACGATAACGACGGCGACGACGACGACGACGGCTGTGGCGGCGGCGACGGCGGCGACGACCACCGCGACGATGTCGCTGGCGGCGACGCCGGCTGCGGCGACGGCGGTGGCTGCTCTCCCCCGAGGAGGGCCAGAAGAGGCTGCGCCTCGCAGAGCTGAAGAACGGCCGCCTGGCCATGATTGGGTTCGGCGGCGCCGTCACGCAGGCGCGGCGCGCGCCGGGGGCGCACCCCGCCTCCTCCGCCTCCTATGCCTCCTCCTCCTCCTCCTCCTCCTCCTCCTTCTCATCCTCCTCCTCCTCCTCCTCCTCCTCCTCCTCCTCCTCCTCCTCCTCCTCCTCCTCCTCCGCTCCTGCTCCTCCTCCTCCTCCTCCTCCTCCTCCCGCGCGCTCACCCTTTCTCTTCTCCCTCTCGTCCTCCTCCCCGCCTGTTCTCTCCCCCCCTCTCCTCTTCTCCCTCCCGGTTCTCCTTCCTCCTGCTCCCCCGTCCCGTATTCGTATTACTCCGATTGCCTCTGCCCCTCAAAAAACAACGAGTTGCCAGGCTGACTTCTGAAATGGGGTGTGGGCCTCATCGAGGCGTGGGAGCGGCCCTGGCGGGAACGTCTTCACAGAGAGTGGTGGGCCCCTGTGAACATGGGCGAGCCGAATTGACATGCGACGAGTCCGTTACAAGGAGTTGCGGACGGGCTCGTGAAAGAGGGGCCTTTGTTGAGGAGATGCAATGCTCCTTGGAGCGATGGGTCAAGGGTTCTGGGGTTGCCGCTCCCGCAACCCAGGGATTCAAATTCCCAGAATCAAAGAGGAATCACGGAGTTCGAAATCCAGGGACATTGGATTTGTAATTCCCACCCTGCCTGGAGGAGGAAGAAGGAGTGAGGCGGGCGAGCAGAAAAAAGAGGTGGGGGAGGGGCGATGGAATGCCCGAGTCACGTGTCGACAGGAGAATTGATTGAGGGCGTTTCCCAGGTGAGATCTCATTTCGCGCGATGCTCTACGCCTGGGACTACTTGGAACGAGTCGCGTACATTTGAACGAAGGTATGAGAGATTGAGAATGTTGGGAGCTGCCCCAGCTTTTTACGATCCCCGTTCGATGATTACGGTATCACAGGTGGGCTACACAGCCATCCCCAGACATTCGCGATTTGTATTATATTTTCCGAAACGAAAGATTCAGTCCCCCTGAGATGATTTAGCAAAGGAGCGGTGCAAGATGATGTCAGCGAGCCGTAGGCTGTCCTCACGCATAACCCGTTCCCGTGGCTCTACTGAGTGCGGCAGCGTTCCTCTGCAATCCCGTTGGCGGTGATAGCTCTGGCATGGGCGAGCGCCTGAGTTTTTAACACTCGCAGCGAAAAAGGTGGGCCGGGCGATTGGCGCCACTATTGTCTCTGCACTCCCAGTTCTTGTCCTTTTTCTACAGCGGCAGCGAAGACCTTTCGTATTCGTCGTGTTTCCAAACGTTGCGAAGACCAGTGTGCCCCAACATGACGAGACCAGCAGCAGGAGAGGAAGGGGAGCAGCAGAAGCGGGGGCAGCAGGTGGAAGATAACGCATCTTGCTTGGCCAGTTTTCTCGACAGCGCGTGTGACGGACGACAAACACGATCGCTTTCACTGATGAATTTGCCCCGCACCCGCAGAGAGCACAGAAGCTGGTATCGCCTCATTTTCAACCGCCTCCCCCGCCTCCTACAATCCTTCGCCCACCACCTCCACTGAGTACCTATCAGAAGTCATTTCGACCCTGATCGCTGACCCATGGTCCCCAGCACGCGCTCAGAGCAGAGCAGGTGGTGCACTTGCATTCGAGGCTGCCCAGCCGACTCCGAAAGGTTGCCACTCGACGTATCGTGCCAATCAGTCGTGCCCGAGTCCTGTGACAATTTCGTGGGAGGGGGCCCGCACGGTATGGCCGTATGTATCTTTGCTCTTGTGAGATGTAGGAAGTGAAACACGCAGTTGTATGCAGGACAGCCAGTCTAGAAAAGGCAACGTCCAAGCACGTTGAGACCGTGCAGGGTATTCTGCGACGTAAAAGCATTTTCCTTATTCTGATATTGCCTGCCGGCGTGAACAAGATCACCGCGCTGCGGCTAACATGGAAGTCGGGCCGCCGTCACACAGCAAAGTACGGTCGGACAGAGTATCCGGATTGTCGGTGGGGTTTCCGTCGCTTTGGATGTGTTCGCCGCGAGATCCACCAAGATGGAAATGGCCCGATACCTTGAGACAAAACATGCAGTGACGCAGGCTTTGTTGCACCTCCGCGCAAAGTATATGTTCCAACAGGGCTTCCGCATGTATACGTCACCGCGTTGCGGGGGGGGAGGGGGCGGATGTGAGCAGGGATGCGGGGGGGTGATGGCTGGCGGTGGGTTGGCGACGACGCTTGTTACCATAAACTTATGTTTCCCCCCTCACGCCTTCCAAAAGAACCACAACATGGACGGATGATTGTCTCGATGCGTTGAGGTTCGCAAGCATACGGTGAAATTTTGTACCACTGTATGTAATATGGCACCCGACGCATACACAATATGTAATCTGCCATGTAATGTAGTTTTCGTCGCCACTTGAACCCATACGAAAGCCCATCTAAAGCATTTGAGCCCATACCAACATCGATTCGAAGCCTGGGCTTAGAATAAGAACCATTGGAATCGGATCGGTAGCGATAGGTCAAAGAATCTCAGCCTGAGTCAGAGAATGGGCAGTCCCAATGGAAGAGTTTGCTTCGGAACCTCGGAACCCGGCGGGATTCATTTGAGGAGCTGTCGGAGGAACCAGCACTTTCAGGTTTGCCAGTGGAAGTTCTAACGGAAATGCCGCAGGAGCTCTGACGGGGTCTACAAGGCGATCGGCTCCGACTCCCACCTCCATTCTGACAACGACTTCTGATACCACTCTGGCTACAACACAACTACGTTGTCCGACTTCGGTAATTATTCCGGCGCGGGGGGCAGACGGCATTGGTAATGCAATACTGTTTGCATTTTCATCCTTTTTCCAGCCCCCATTCCCCCGCCCATCCCTCCGAGAAGGACTCCGAGAAGGAACGCGCTGCAACGCGCCACCGCGCGGTTGCAGCGCATCGCAAGGTGGAGGGGCGCCCGATCACCTGGAACGCAGCGCGGACCAACCCACCGCCTGGCGGAGAAACAACAAAGAACATACGGGGGAAACAAGGACCCAAACAACAAACTGGAAAATGCGAAAGGAGAAGAGGGGAAAGAGAGTCGGAAAGGGGACAGACTGCACAAGTCAGATCCTAGCCCGCGCGCAGGTGACGCCCTTGTCGCATGAGCTCGCGGCGCGGTGTCCGGGGCGACGCTTGCGCGGGGACTGCGGCGCGCCTGGGGCGCGGGGGCTGCTTGCGCCAGATGGACCGCAAGAGCTGCGCGAAACCCAAAGGCCGCATAATGCACATGGGCCGCGCGATCCGCGTGGGATGGGGGGCCGCGTCGGATTGGCGAGGCCACATGGGCCGCGCGAAGCGCGCGGGCGCCCCCTGCCCTGCAAAGGGCTGGGGGAAGACGCACGGGCAGCGCGAAACGCGCGGGCCGCGGGCGATACATGAACCGCATGGCCGCTTGTGCTGCCCAGGGCGCAAGAAGTGCGCGATCCGCGCGGTAGTTGGTCTTGCGCGCCGCCGAGCAGACCCTGCGCGAGCACCGCAGGACTGGTGAATATTTTAAGCCCAATGAACGCCACGTCGTGCGCCCACTCGGGGAAGGGGCTCCCGCTGCCGAGCATTCGGGCGAGAGTTGCGCTGACCAAACCAACCTATCACCCAACCATCAAACTCAGCGGCCTCAGTTGCGACGTCCTCGCACTGCTCGCGAGGTTTGAAGGAGAGGGTGCGCGCCTTGCAAGTGCATTTCGCTGCTCGACAACGACTGGGGCAGAGACCAGGGCGACCAACCAATCCAACCACGCTGCCAAAAGTCTCGGCGCCGTCGCTTGCGAGTTCCCCGCAGCTTGGGCGCCAAAGCAAGGACAATGCGTGTATCCAGCGCTGTTGAATGGCAAGGCAGGATTGGTGAGGAGGGGAGAAAGGAAACGGTCGAATCAGGAAGAGGAGGAGCAACAAAAAGACCGGATAGGGATGCGGCGTCAGGCCTCCCTTCCCTGTCGGTTGCGGATGCCTGGCTTGGACACCTCCAAACTGGGCTCAGAGCGCTGTCGGCGCCGCCGCGGGGGAGGCGGGGGAAGGGAAAGAGGGGGCGCCGTCCCACGCCCATCCGCCGACAAAAAAACGAGAGGGGGGCGGGGCAGAAAGGAAGGGCGCGAGAAGGGGGCGGGAAGGAACGCGCTACAACGCACCACAGCGCGGCTGCAGCATAGTGAGAACTCGGGCAGCGACAGATGCGCGTGGAACGCAGCACAAATCAACCCGTTGTCAACGAGGCCAGACGGACGAAACGTTGCTAATTGCTCCGCGACACATGCGGGTCAGTGCCCAGATTGTGGGGATATCTCACGCGAAACGCTGGTTGTTGAGAGGGAGACGTATCTCCTGTCAAGGCTGTGTGACCGCTGTAATGTAATATCGGGTAGGGCACTTCCCCAGTGGCGCCCAGTTTGCGGGGATGCCTCAAACCGAATTCTGGCTTGTATGATTTGATTGTGTTTATTACTGATCAGGGTTGCGTGAACATCGCGATGTAGGCGTGACACGTGGGGACCGCAGGGGGGGCCGCTAAAGGGTACATCATGGGCGCTGTCGCGGTCATATTGCGAGGACGTCTCGGCTCACCCAATTTCTTACATACCCGCTCATTTTCCATCGTTCGCAGACAAATTCGCAAGGAAATTCACGCGCAATTTGGCAAATGAAAGTTAGCGTGGGTGAGGAGGATCAGGAAGAGGAGGAAGAACTGACCGATGCATGCATGGGGATTTCCCGTAACGAAGCAAGTTTCTTGCCGTCGCTTGTGCAGCATTTCGTTACTGAGAGGCTCCACCTCTGCGTACATGTGGCCTGCGCATTCCATGCCAATCTGAGACATTTTGTCCCCCTCTCTCTGCGGCTTGTCCTGCTCGTTGTTCAGGTCCTCATTCATCTGCCCGGTTCTCTTTGGATCCTCTGCCTTGATGATGCTGCGCGGATTTGGTTGGTCATTTGCATTCAGGGCCTGCCTTTTGGCCGCTAACCTTTGTAGAGCCCAAGTCGCATGTCTACTACGTCGTCGCGGGGCTTGCGCAGCCATAAAAAAGACGCGTCGGCATTTTCAAAGTAAATTGTTCGATTGTCATCTCCCCACAATCTGGTCGCCACCCCCTGGCGCCTCCCCCCTGTGGCGCCTAAAGAAAGAGAGGAATGCTGCGCCGGGATTGCCGCGGCCTGAAAGCTCACGTTTGACTTCCGGGGGCGCCCCCGCAAGCAGGGCGCCAACGGGCAAGTGTCGACCCTTTGGCGCTCTCTCCCCTTCTCAGGGAAACTCATTCTCTGACGGACAGCGTGCCGTACCAAGTGCCATCATACCGCCGATATCGTTTCGAATGATATGTTTTTGTTGTTGGATTTGTCTTGACAAGGATGGTCTTCGGGAGGAGGGAACGGCCTCCCACCAACGTATAGGATAGAATCTGCATCTAGACGCCATTAAATTTGCATTCAAAAATTGTTCGATCTCTCGCGCCATGGTTTGGGTTGGAATGCAACCATAAACGCACCACATGGGGACGCCCGAAAAGCCGAAGAAAGAGGCTCACAAGCACAGCCTTTTAAACTGAGGTGGACGAGAGAGAGAGAGAGAAAGAGAGAGAGAGAGAGAGCGATAGAGAGAGAGAGAGCGATATATAGAGAGAGAGAGAGAAAAAAAAGAGAGAGAGAGAGAGAGAGAAAGAGGAAGAGAGAGAGAGAGAGAGAAAGAGAGAGAGAGGGGGAGAGAGAGAGAGAGGGAGAGAAAGAGAGAGAGCGACAGATGAACAGAAAGAGAGAGAGAGAGAGGCAGAGGGAGAGAGATAAAGAGAGAAAGAGAGAGAGAGAGAAGAAAAAAAAAAAGAGATCGAGAGAGAGAGAGAGAAAGAAGGAAAGAGAAAGAGAGAACGAGAGAGAGAGAGAAAGAGGGAGAGAGGGAGAGAGAGAGAGAGAGAGGGAGAGAGGGAGAGAGAAATAGTCATCAGAACGATTTCCCTCAGACGTGTTCTGCCGCAGATTTCTTTGTTTTTTTCATTTCGTGGTTACTGAAACGGGCGGGGTTGGTTACCGAAACACTGTTTTGGTTACTGAAACGCTTGTGTGTTACTGAGACGGTTGCTGTTCTCCTCCTCCTCCCTCCCTTTCCTCTCGGAGCGCGCCCGCGCAGGAGCTGGAAAAATCCGCCGTGCACCTCGGGGTCTTCCGATCCCGGAAGCTGGCGAACGGGGAGATCGAGGAGTTCGTGACGTGCCAATGCCGCCAACACGAAGACGATCACAAGAACGAGTGCGAGGTCAGCATACACTTTGAAATGCGGCGTGGGTACGTGTACCGGACCGAGCGGGGCAAGCACGAGAAGAACGCATCGGCCTCCCAAGTCAGGAAGGACAAAAAGCTCGTCAAAGAAGAAATGACAACAACAACAACAAAGAAAATAAAAACGATATCCGTCAGCACCCAAATTCAACAGAAAATCGATGGAGGAACGCGTGCCGAAGATCTACCTACCCCGGACTCCGTGTACAAATTGCGGAGTGCACAGTGCGCAGCTGAATACGGCGCGGGGCAGAGCCCGCCAAGTGAATGGAAAGCCTTGGCCGCCGAAAGGCAGCCCAAATTCGGCGATCCAGACTGGAGGCTCGTCGTCGACTGCAAGAACGCGTCACTCGAGAACAATAGTTTACCATTTCATTGTCGTTATTTGGCAACGACGTGCGCCGACTTCGTGGCCAATCAGCCTGATGGCTACGAGATGCGTTTGTGCCTGGACGCAACGCACGATCAAGGCGTCCAAGGCTTCAAGCTGATCTCCCTCAGGTGGCTGGGGGCCCACTACGTCCACAACGCGTGGGCCGAAACTTACGTTCCCGAAGAAGATATGCCAGCCGTGAGGGCTACAGTGCAAAGTGGAATAGACCTACTTCAAAATTACCACACCCTGGATCTGGTATCAAAAAGGGCAGTTGTATATTTGGATGGCGGGAAGGCGCTTGCTAACGTCTGCGAAGAACTCTTCCCCGATGCCCTCCACGTTCGACGTTTGGAACACATCAAAAATGACATAACGAAAAACGGGAAACAATGGGCGAACAGAAATTGGGGCTCGCAGGTCCAGGACTACATGCATAAAAGCGCTTTCTTGCCACCGCCTCTGTTCGATGCTTTCTGGAAGGCTGTGTTGGCGGACCTCCGCAGGAAAGGCGAGGAACGATTCGTCGACTACTTGTTCACTGCCAAGCACCTAATTCACAATAGTGGGGCTTATGAAGCAAAGTGGCACTGCCCATGCGATCGTGTTCTGCCGCCCTTTTCTGCTATTCCAACAACACAATAGAGTCATTTTGGGGCGTCATGGACAAAAGTTCCCAATGCAAACCTAAACGTGTTGACGTGTTACATGAGATACGATTTCTCGAACGGGCTGTGCGCACATGGTGGGAGACCGACAAACATAAAGACAAATGCTCTTATGTATCGAACGGGTCAACGCCGTCCAGGCCCAACGCTCGCTGCCTGAGGGGGCCCAACAAGTCATCCCTGCGCGGGCCAAAAGACGACAATAAGCAAATTCGTCGGCTAACAGCAATTGGAATCATCTACATTGCGTCTCCAGGTGATGTCTACGTTGCCAACGATACGTCAAGGCCTTAATTTTGCCGGGGGGTCCTTTCGTTGCGCAAGATGGGACCCGAAGGGCTCCAGGCTGACCTCCGGGGGGGCCTCCCAGCTTCCGAAAGCCCCCACCCTCCAAAAAGCAACGCATGAATATATATTCCGGGGCATCCTTGGGGCCCCATCGGCTTTCCCGAAGCCTCTCGGAGTTTCCTTTGGATCCTTCCTTCCTTAATCCGAAGGGCTCCTGGAAACCTCCCGTGGAATTGTCATTGGAGCCTTGGTTGGGCCCCTCCTTTGACATCCCGTGGAATTGCACCTGGGGCCATCCCCGAAGCCTTCCTTAGGCGCCCTTTTCTGCGCGCCATGGCGCCCCTCCGTGCCCACAGGAGCCATTGTTTCATATCTCCCCTCAGCCCCATCCCTTTCGCCCTCTGACAGTTTATCGCGGGCCCCGCTGGCGTCCAAGCTAAATCGGGCTCGAATTGGGAAACATTGTTTTTTTTACCTTTCGAACTCGCTTTTCGTTGCGGGGCCCCTGGGGGCCGTGTCGCTTCCCCGCCCCTGGTCTTTCCCACATCCTCCTTGATTCCCGCCTGTCCCCAGCCATCCTCCCCCATCCCTTCCTAGTCATCCTGCTTCTACGAGAGGGCGTTGCCGCCAAGGTCGACGGCGGTGGCTGTGTCCCAAATGCGACGGCAGCAAGTTCGACAAGGAGCGGATGCAAACCATCATGGCGGCTTTATCGACCACCGTGGTGCCCGAGCTCCGGGACATCGCGTAGAGACAGCTAGGCATCAAATACGGAGATAGGCCCTCAGAGTTTGACGCCTTGGAAATATTGTATCCAATGTTGGTCGCATTTCCCTGATTGTTCCCGTGAGCGATCAATGTTTGATATATATATATATATATATATATATATATGTGTGTGTGTGTGTGTGTGTGTGTGTGTGTGTGTGTGTGTGTGTGTGTGTGTGTGTGTTGTGTGTGTGTGTGTGTGTGTGTGTGTGTGTGTGTGTGTGTGTGTGTGTGTGTGGGTGTGTGTGTGTGTGTGTTGTGGTGTGTGTGTGTGTGTGTGTTGTGTGTGTGTGTGTGTGTGTGTGTGTGTGTGTGTGTGTGTGTGTGTGTGTGTGTGTGTGTGTGTGTGTGTGTGTGTGTGTGTGTGTGTGTGTGTGTGTGTGTGTGTGTGTGTGTGTGTGTGTGTGTGTGTGTGTGTGTGTGTGTGTGTGTGTGTGTGTGTGTGTGTGTGTGTGTGTGTGTGTGTGTGTGTGTGTGTGTGAGGGGAGAAAATGGGGATGTCGCATCAATGGGCTGTTTCACATCATGCGTGCATGGAATATTTGTTTTGACCGTAAAAATCGCTGGCCGGTGTAAATTTAAGTACTTCGCCTTGGCCGGCCCATGGTAGAAATTTAAGGGTTTCGGTTTGCCGTGTTGTTGGTTGTTTCAATTGAAGTGCAATTCTGAAGTACCCACATGCAAAATGTAACAATCTTCGCACCCTGAAGGGCGCTCACATGTTCACTGGTTGCCCGTGCTTTTGCTTGCCGGGGAAAAAATGCATTGTGAAACAACACGACCATTGAGATAATACCCGGGCCGCGGATTATGCGCGCCATTTCACGCCCCTGACGTTCGTTGATGGCAACATCCAGGAATCTCATCAGGATTTTGTGATTTCAGGGCAGACTGAACACAGCGTCTGGTTGCAACACCTCGGTTCGGCCAATCATTACCCGGGCACTTTCAAGACAACACCGCGGCGCACTGGCCGCGCTCGCGTCAGAGTCCCAGATCGCCCGAAGACCCTGGGGGCGCTCCCGAGCACTCGCGGGGGGCGAGGCGGACGCGGCCGAGGACGAAACCGAGGACGAGGCCGTGAGGCCGGGGCTACGCGCGTGGAACCCTTCGGCGCTAAGCCAGTGGACCCTCCTCAGGCGACCCGCGAGGATCTAGAGCTCGAGGCTGAGTTCTTCGGCGACTCCGGCGAGGATTTGGAGTTCGAGACGGAGCTCTTCGGCAGCTTCAGCTCACCAAAGGCGGCCATCGATATCGATTTGGTTTGCGACCCAGAATTGGCGGCGGAATCCGCCTTAAATCCCATCAACATCGACTCAAATTCGGATGCCTTGCGCATGCAATTGGCGATCGAAGACATCAATGGTCATCAAACAACCCCGACTCGATTTACTCAATTCCTCTTCCCTCTCCCTTCCCACTTCCTTCTCCGTTTCCTCCATCTTTCAGAACTCCTCACCTTAAGAAGAAAGATCTTTCGAGCCAGCAGCGGGTCCAATATGATGCCGACGAACGGACTTGGCTGTAGGATGCATCAATTCGTGCACATGCTTCTTTGCAAATCCGCGGCGGCATTTTTTTCCGCGCCGGGCGTTGCAGGTATCCAACGGCAACACGTTACCCACAAAAATGGCCGCATCTATGTTCCATATTGCATTTAATACGCTTTGACCTGCGGTGCGCAAAATTCCGCGCCAAAGGAATCCGCCCACCGCGCGGGAAAAACACATATTTTAATATTCGTTGCCTTTCCTCGTCCTCCTCCTCTTCGTTTCTCTTCTTCATCCTCACTCATCTTTCTTTTCGTTTCTCTACCTCCTTTTTATCACTCCTCTTCCTCCTATTCGCACTTATTCTTCCTCTGCCTTTCTTCCTCTTCATCCTCGTCCTCTCTCACTTTCCACATCCTTCCTCTCGCCGGTCCGTCCTGGGGCCGTCCTCCAGGAGACGCCCCAGGAACGCCTACGATGGCCCAAGAGCGCGCAAAGACGGGCTCAAAAGCCAAGCGGGCATTCCACAATTTTCAACATCAATCTGCGAACCCATCACCAACGGTTGGCTGATGGCCCTCCCGACAGCATGGGGAACATCCCGGATCGGTTACTGAAGTGTTTTTCTTATTGGAATGGGATAGCGGATTAATGATATTTTTTTGAAACGTTTGCTTCGGTTACTAAACCGGGCGGGGGCTGAACACTGAAGCGGGCGAGGGCGATTGTTAAAACGGGTGTTTACTGGAGGAACACTGTTTGCGAGATTGCAACGCTTGCACGTTACTGAAACAATCGATGGCGGAAATTTACCACGCCGAAAACCATACCGGATCGTCCGGCTGGTTTGTATGATCCGAGGTGCCACGGGAGTGGAAAAATATTTAATGGTTGGAGAATTTCGCCCGCAGCAACCTCTAAAAATACACGAATAAAATACACGAACGCTTCGCATGCCGGCCCTGCCCGAGAGAGTGAATTTCGAAATTTGATCTGTTTGGTTTGTGAAACAAAGGAGGCAACTCGGCGCAAAGCCCGGTTGCCCGTACGGAGCGGGAACCCGTTTCATGCAAGCAGGCCAGACGGGGGCAATCAACGCAGTAACGGCCTCCGCATCGCTAAATAAGAATTTTGCCACGTAACTCGCATGCTGAGTTCGCCAACAAGCTGAGTTCGCCAGCTCATGGCACTCAAGCCACGCTTGACAAACTACAAGACATTTCCCTCATTTTTTTTGGTTGGAAGTGCGCGATAATCTACACATTTCGAGCCCCTACAGAAATTTAGCATCAAAATTCGAAGACTAACGGCTCGTCGCTAAAACCTTGGCCCGGTAATTTCAGCACGATTTGCGAGATGCAGTGCGACCATTTACTTTTGGGCTCAACAATAGGGGTGGCACTGATTCTGCCACCCATCGCTCACAATATCTTGTCGACGAATATCTTGTTGTCAATACGGGCGCGTTTGACCACATACACCGAACAATCATATTCGAATAAACATTACCAATGCCAACCTTACACGGACAAATTCTTATTGTTCGGTTATGGTGCGGCACCGCGTCCAACATTACGTGGATAACCGACAAGAAATTATACCCATCTTATTATGCGGACCGAACCTCAATATGGTAGCCGGAAGTCTGCCCAAACGGTGTCCTCGCTTTGGCGCGATATCCCAGCAAGCTGGGCAAATTTGATTGCTGCCAATTTCCGCCGAACACACGCGGAACAAGGGTCCGACAAACACAACATTTGGGCAACACAAAAAGGTGCCGCAAGTCACTTACCGTTTCGTGCCTGTAGTGGGGATGTCTCCAGCGGTCCGCTTGATTTTGAAGATGTAGGCGCATCTTTTTCACGGCCGCGCGGCGTTCGTGATGTCGCAACCATAATTTTTGGGCGCCACAAAGAAGCGACCACGAAGTTAGGACGCTTGCCCGCTGGCACCCAGCATTTGGGAATATCCCGCGCGAGACGCTAGCTTGTTGAGGTGGGCGTGTTTTTTTTTTTTTGCAGGCCGCCATGGAGCCAACACGGGAACACAAACGCGGAACAAAAACATTCGCAAATGCAGGAGGCACTCGACGAAATCAAATAGAACAAGCTAAATTGGCCATATGCCGAACATTAGCAATTCTTGTCCTTTGCGCCAGCGCGGCTGGCAAATTAAAAAGTCCTCGAGCCCAGAAGCATAAGAAACACATGAATTTCTACGGCCCACAAACACGCAACCAAGCCGAACAATGCCAACATAATCGGGAAGAACGGGCCGATAACCGAACATTTGCTCTGGCGCGGCCAGGGGCCTGAAGGCCAGCTCTCGAGGCCAGAAACAAACAACAAATTTGAAAATCATCCCACAGAAACGCAACGAAACCAATACTGATCCGGAAATGTATCCTGAAATATGTTGTATACTGATCCAAAATGTAATGTATACTGATCCGGAGACGGAAGCTATGGTATACTGATGCAGAAACTCTTGTATGCTGATCCGGAATACGGGCTGGCGTATACTGATCCAAGATACGAGCTGGCGTATAATGATCCGGAATGGTGTCAGATACTGATCCGGAATATGGCCGTATACTAATCCGCCACCTCCTCCTTGCAACGCCGTCAACTTTGAAAATGCAATTGGCGTGGCCGAGTATACGAAACAATGCTGCAACAACGGGGAAATCAATATTGCAATCGTGCATGGGCCCATTCAAGTCTGTCTGGTTTGTTCATTCACAACTTCTGACACTCTCGGCAACAATCCGTACATGACGGAATATCGTGTGCTATGCGGATACGTTTTGGAATGCGTACATGCCTTGTCAGACCAGATCGCGTCACCCACGCCTCAACTGTTTGTTGTGGTACCTGGCGTTGGTCCGAAACAAGTGCACGAAGTTTTGAAACCCAGAGGTCCGACTCCATATGATTATCTGAATATCTGGTTTTGGATCCATCCAAACGCTTCCCACCCACAGCGTTCACAAGCGTGGGCAAACTCATCCCGGCCAACATCCCCAGAAATGGTCTTGATTGATACATCTCTGCTAATCGTCCCACCAAACGCTTCGAAATGGGAAGACGAGACCGAAGTCGCCCGACGCCAGGCAACCTCGCAGGCCTCCCGCCGCCCCCAAGCCTCCAGCAATACCGCCTGCGTGTCGGGGAAGGCGCGGGTGGTTTGGCGACCACCGTCTGGAGCGGCCGGGATGCCCATCCAGGCCGCCCATGCCTCCAGGGGTTGCAAAGTCTACGCTTTCGCTTCGGCGGGGGGGGGATGATCGGGCAAAGGATGCTTCAGCATCTGGGCCCCATAAACTATTCCAGGGCCCGCTGCGCGGGCAGAGAGTAGCGGGCCGCGCCGAGGGCAGGCGGAACGAAACAGGGAGGGGCAGGGCGGAGGTTCATTACCCCTCCAACATTTACATTTGTGTGTTTTTTCTCTCTGTCCTGAGATTGCGAAGATGTCTCAACCGAACGCGCTGGACCACCTCGCGCAATTCTTCCGGGAACCCAGATGTGCGAAAATGTCTCAGGCGAAACGAACTGGACCACCTCGCGCACAACTTCAAGGAACTGGGAATTGCGAGGATGTCTCAGGCGAAACGGGCTTGAACACCTCGTGTGTGACATCTGGGAGCTAGGAGTTGCGAGGATGTCTCCAGGCGACGCCAGACCCCTTCGAAGGCAAATATTGGAAAACAAAAGAGTCACCAAATGATTCGTTTTGGGTCTGACCCCTCCTCACTTTCTCCTTCCTCTGAGGGCCCAGAATTGAAAAGGATGTCTTAGGCGAAACGGGCCAGACCACCTCGCCCGCAGCATCTCGGAGCCCCGAATGGCAATCATATCTCGAGCGAAACTTGCGCACATCTTCTCTCAGCTCAGAGTTGCACGGATGTCTCAGGCGAAGCGAGCTGGACCACCGTGCGCGCAGCATCTCGGAGCTCTTGCCTCCTTCTCTTCCCCTCCCCCATCCCGCCTCCTCCTTGCTCGCCGCGCTCTCGGTCGAGGCATCTCCACCATTTGCTCCAGCATGGCTGCCCCCTGATGAGCCCTGTCAATTCACCAAGGACTCGTGCTCGCGCATCGGCGCCAGCTACCTCCTCTGTCGGGCAAGGGGCGCCCCGACCTCTTCCAGAGCATACCTCGACAACAGAAGTCTAACCAATGGCTTGTCTGGGTCTGACCCCTCCTCCCTCCTCCTCCTCCCTCTCCGAGCCCAGAGCTGCGACACTCTCTCAAGCGAAACGCGCCGGACCACCTCGAGCACATTTCCCGAGAGCCCAGAGTTGCGAGGATGTCTCAGGCGACGCGAGCTGGACCACCTCGCGCACATCTTCAAGGAGCCCGAGAGCTCAGCGTTGCGAGAATATCTCAGGTATGGCGTGCGCGCACGAAAAGGAGCGCTGACAACGCGTGCCTGCGTCGCCTTCAGCCCCTGGCCTCGGCGCATTTGGGGTGGCGGAAGACGGGGAGAAAGGTGGGATGGCCAAGGATTTCGATGTATACTGAATTCCGTGAGGCGAGTTCAGCATGGGAAACAAGCGTCCCGATGCAAATGTGTTGGGGGGCACGCGCTCCGCTCACCAGCGATGCTGATCATGCCCCAGGCGCCGGTGATGCAGAAACAGTCTCGCAACCCGCGGCGCGGATCGCGGACTGGGGGGGAACGCACTTGTGACCACAAGCAGAGGAGGAGGAGGAGGAGGAGGAGGAGGAGGAGGAGGAGGAGGAGGAGGGGGAGGAGGAGGGGGAGGAGGAGGAGGAGGAGGAGGAGGAGGAGGAGGAGAGGAGGAGGAGGAGGGGGAGGAGGAGGAGGAGGAGGAGGAGGAGGAGGAGGAGGGGGAGGAGGAGGAGGAGGAGGAGGAGGAGGAGGAGGAGGAGGAGGAGGAGCAGGAGGAAGGAGTTGCCAGGCCCGTCCACCTCTTTCGGCCACCGCGCTGCTGCGATCTGCCGAGGGCGCCTCACGGCCTCGCGCGCTCTGCCTGACGTGCCCGGGGGAGGGGCGGGCGGCAACCTCTCTCCTCCGGTGCTCCACTTTTTCGCCAGAGAGCGACCGACCCCTGGCGCGCGGCTCTTTGGCGGCCGCGGGGGAACCGAACCCAAGGGCGCGCAAGCCGCTGCTATCGCATGGTGTTCGGCGGTCGGGGGCCCCCCTCGGGC